TAAGCAAGGAAACAAACATCCATCTTCAGCAGCTACTCCTGCCTCAAACCAATCCTCTAATGCTTTTAATTTCGTAATATGTAGCTCCTCTAGCAATGGAAAGGCATGGTATTTATCATTCCCATTAAATTTACTTTCGAGCCATTTTACTTTCGGCATTTTAGGAAGTGTCAGTGACTTGAGGTAGGGAAGTAGCCCAAAAGGTGGAAGAGTTTCACACTCCAAGGAATCTGTCAATTCGATTTTCTTTATATTGAAGATTGGATTGGCATTATTCATCCATATTGGAGACCTTGCACCCATGTATCTCTCTATGCTCAGATTCCCTAGACATTTTGGTGGCTGAAGTTTGTCGAGCACGTTCTCATATAAATCGATGTTCCTCGAATCAGTGTTACTCCAACATAAGGTTAAATCAGTGAGCCTCTTGGCACATAATTTCAATGTTGTAGATTCCTAAAATGTGAAGATCATTCATACTCTCCAGCTCTCCAATTCTATAACCACTCGCATCTCTAATATCAAACATATTCAATTCTCGAAGAGACTTTAGCTTCCCAATCCAACATATCAATGAAATATAATCCTCGGGCAATTTCACATATCGCACGTTAGAAAGGTTATTAATGCCACTCGGTAAAAAAATCATCAACTTTAGATTGACTTGGCACCCCTCGGATCTAATATATTATGCATTGCAAGTGATAGAGATTGCATAGGGATCTTTGCAGCATAGTCAAATTATAACCATCAATGTTTAAGCATCGAATATGTATCAAATTTCCAATCTCTTCGAGTATTATTTCCAAGTCTTTTGGAGCCCTTATGTATAATAATAAGCGTAGGCTTCTCGATGCTTTGAATATTTCAATAAGTGCATTACAAAGATCCCCTAGGGCCATATGCCTCATCATAGCCCTCTCTTATAAATAAATAAATAAATAAAAAGAACAACAACAACAGACAAAACAAATTTCTCAATAAGGAGGCAGCGACTGATCTGAAAAAGAAAACATTTCAGATGAACGCCTTACCGATTAAGAGGAAAAATAGAAGTTGCGTGGCTCATGCTCTACTTTTTTTTTCAAGCATATGAGATCGCATCCTGCTTAAAATAGACGAAGTAGAAGAGATGTGATGGCCATATTTCCTGCCATTGAGTTCCTGCCATAAATAATATACATATAGCAGAAGGGGGTGAGAAATTTTCCTTTTATTCTTTCCCAAAGGCTCGACTTATTTGATCTAAAACTTGAGTAAATGAAACCCATATGACCGTGATCTCTGTAGAAAGAAGAAAGACTAAGAAGGTAAGAACGCAGATAATCCATGTTCTCAAGAAATGCTAGATATTGAAGACCTGGTACCCATGTAAACATTTATCCTCAGTTTCTTTAGATTGTTATGTTGTTCAAATTTCCTGAGCAACTTCTCATAATAAAAGTCGAGTCTATAATGTGCTTGAAATCTTCCCAAATCCAAACGCTGCAAATTAGTGTTAGTTTCATTTTCAAATGAGTTAGAGCAGCAGTTTCTGCAAGGTAACTCATCTTTTTTCGGAGAAATTATCAGGTGCAGAATCTGGAGATGCGTAGCTCGCATCTAGGCTCCAATAAAATGAAGCCACTTAATTTGTACAAACAAGGTGTGTATAAATAGAATTTACAAACCCTACATACAGCTAGAAAATTATACCTTGAAGAAATCAAATCATTGCAATGCCTTCCATATTCTTTGTGCTTCACTTCCATCAAGTTCTTAATAAGTATTCAGCTCCAAAAACAACCAGACCTCCCTCCCACTTTGTTTTCCTGAAAATTTTCCAAAAAACATGGGATTTTTGCCTGCTCCCTCTTATACAACAATGTTACCCAATTCTAAGGACAAATTCATAAAGTTCCTCTTATCAGATTTTTCTAGTTCTTAATTGATAAAGCTTATATTCAAATCATTAAAGATATGTATGCATTAAAAATATGTATGCAGGAGCTATTACTTGTGTTCAAAGACAAGGTGGTTTGACCA